CACCGGGGGTCTCCCATGAGTCATTTGCTCTGTGTTGGAGTTCAAGCATCAAAACATTGGTTTCAGGGGCCGGTGCGGTGGCGCAGCGGTTAAGCGCACACATTCTGCTTCGGCGACCCAAGGTTCACCGGTTTGGCTCCCGGGTGCAGACATGGCACCGCTCGGCAAGCCATGCTGTGGCAGGCGTCCCACATATAAAATAGAGGAAGGTGGGCATGGATGTTAGCTCAGGGCCAGTCTTCCTCAGCAAAAAGAGGAGGATTGGCAGCAGACGTTAGCTCAGGGCTAATCTTCCTCAAAAAAAAAAAAAAAAAAAAAATTTGCTTCAGACCCTTCCTCTACTAAGTCAAAGAATGCATTCATTTCACAGTCCAGTTCAGAGGACAGGGTAGAGATTTTTCTTTAAGATTCAATGGGGAATCCCGTCCAGATTAGGGAAGCAGTTGGCCGCAGTTCACGCAGCTGAGTTTTAAAAGGGAGAAGATTCTAGCCCAGGCTCTTCTGGCCTGCAACGTTGAGTCTCTTGAGAATGGGGATAGTTTTTTTTTTTTGTGAGACAATGGCCCATTTTTTATGGTGACAGACATTCCCTTGGTGTGATAAATTTTGAAGTTGGCTCTTTTTCAGGGAATGCAAAACTTATAGTGTAAAGCTGTAGTAGACTTTTCAATCTCTCCCTCTTTCCAGCCCAGTCAGTTTTAGGGAGTCTGAGAGTTAGGCCCTAGATTCAGGGAAGCTGGCTTGGTAGGGGTGGTCAGCCCCAGGTACTCGGAACGGAGAATTTCTGTGGGTCGTCAGCCCCATGTCAACAGGCCCTTCTTTAAAATCCTCTTGAAGGCCATCCTGTGTGGCTGGTCTGTTTACTCCTGGGATTGTGTATAGTTCTGCCTTCCTGAGTTTTTGCCACAACTTGGCCGTGGCTGCTTGTTTTGGGACAAAACCTGTCAAGTCTTCCTCAAGAGGAAAGACCGTCACCAGGTTGATCCTTTCTCGAAGCAGAATCTTTTTCATTGAATAAAACTTCCCTAAGAACTCAGGTGACTCTGATGGATCTCTGTCTTCAAGGAATCCATTTGTAGGACCCTAGGGGAAGACAGACTCATACACACAGGTGCATTAGGAAGGTGTAGACGCCATGCTGTAAGCACGTAGCATGAGAGCGTGTGGGGTGGGGGCACTGAGGGGGAGTGATCAGTTCAATTCACAGTGTCTGAGTCTGAAAGATGACGAGGGCAGTGTTGAATGGGGGTGGGAGTAGGAGTTCCCCGCAGAAGGAACAGCTTTTGAAAAGGCCCAGAGTCGGAAGAGTGGTTGGGAAATGCCAGTTGAATGCCCTGTGTGAGATGCAGCTGGACAGGTAGACTGGAGCCCTCAGGAATGGCCTTGAATTCCAGCCTAAGGAGCAGGGACTTTGGCGCATATATGATGGGAGTGGCATTAATGGTGGACCCAAGGCAAAGGAGGGAGAAGATGGGATGTACATTTGGAAAGATCTTTCACACCTTTTACTGGGGAGGCTGGGAAGACACTGAGGCGGGGCAGTTGAAAGGCTGTTGCTACAAGCTGGAAGATCTTAAGAAGGATATATCCAATTCTTTTATTTTGTAGATGCACAGTCTGAGGCCCAGAGAGGTAAAGTGACTAACTCAAGGCCACCCAGCAAGATCAATAGCAAAGTCCAGGCTTTAACCTATGGGTCCTACCTCCCAGCAAAGTCTTCCTTCACTGCCCCAGTATCCTCAGGAGGAGAAGCACCCTACTGGGATTTCTCTGTTGTCCTTTGCCTCTGAATCTCTTATGTGCTCTGCCCTACTGCAGCCCAGCCTGCTAGGGCAGTGACGAGGGAGTGTTCCCAGAGGACAGGGTGGGGAGCATTGCTGGTCTGCTTTGGAAGATGCTGCAGTTGCTGCTGCTGCTGCCTCCACACCAATCAGGGAGCTTTCTAGCCGCAGGAGGAAGCCAGGAGCCAGGGGATGGGGCTGCAGTGATTTACGACTGTACAGAAACAGCAGGACACTAATGTGTCTGGCTGGCCTGCTTGTCTGCCAACTCAGCCAGAGAGGATGCATCTAAAGGTCACGTCCTCCATCACTGGAGATGGGGCGAAGGGTTAGCCATACAGGGTGCCTGCCCAGTGCCCTTGTGTGAGGCCAGTCACCAGAGGTCATCTCTTTTCCTGAACAGATGCCAAGGGGTAGATCCTCATAGCCTGGGCTGGAAAGGGTGCCCCAGCTCCTGGGAGTCCAGAAGATCTGCCTGGGTTTGAATTCAGCCTCTATCAGTCACTAGTGTGTGAACTTTAGCTGGTCACACAGCCTCTCTGTGTCTCAGCTTCATGGTCTGAAAAACAGGGACAATTCTGAGCCTCTGAATCCTTGGGACGGAAGCATCTCCCAGGTCTGCAGATACAGATTCCCTGTTTCCACAGCTAAAGAATGCCAGTAGCCTTCCATTTCAGAAGATGAACATACTGAATCTAGAACTATGACTGTCACAGCTGGGCGGACCACTTACTGCTCATTTCGTGTAATTTCTCACTTTAAAGGTGGGGGAATTAAGACCCAGAGAGGGGACAGGCCTTGAACATAGAGTTGGGAGCGAGGCAGAAGCCAGAATGCTGGTTCTCCGCCTCCCTGCTCCAGGTTTCTTTCAGTAGTACCAGGCAGTGGAGGAGGAAGCCAGAATATTAAGCCATTTGCTCTGTGTAATGTCACCATGCCTCTGAAGCAGCCCTCTAAGCAGCCAGGGGCTGCTGGGCAGCTGCAGCTTTAAGCCTAGAGTCTTAAAAAAACCAAAAAGGGAACGGAGGGCAGGGCCAGCTCTCCCCTGCACCATTGGAGGGGAGCCTCCATGTGGAGACTGCAGGTCAGAGAGGCAGCCTGAAATGTGCCAGGAAGTTCCCGAGATTTAGCATCTGGGGCCTGAATCGTTAACACACTTAATCTACATGTGGACAGCCAGGGTTGGCTGTAAAGGGCTCATTCCCACGGACCCGTGATGCCCAGGCCAGAATGGTTTAAGCCTGGCCTGCAGGGATCAAGAGAAAGGAAGAGGAATGACTTGGCGAACACTCATGTAAGAGACAGATGGAAGTGGGAGGGTTTATTCACCAGCACGGTTGCATTTGGCTGGGTGGTGTAGTAAGAGAAAAGGGGCTACAGCCTATGTTGGAGGAGGGGGAGAAGATAGCTATTTCTAGACTTTCTCCTCCCTCAGTCCATCTCTTCCTCTCTTGCCAAAGTAGTCTCCCTAAGGTGCATGCATTCATTTGTTTATTTCCATTTCTTTGTTTCATATGTTCTGCATATTTACTGTGTGCCAGGCACTGTCCTAAGCACTGAGGAGGCAATGATGAATGATGATGATGAAGACAAAATGCACATCTCATTTTCTGCCCTGGTTAAAATCTCTCACAGGCTTTCTATTTATTTCAGAAGACTTCACTCCCTTGCCTGCCATTCAGGGCTCCTCATGTTCTGGCTGCAGCCCCATTACACATCCCTTCAGGCAACAAACACATTGGATTCTTTGCCTATCAATAAATATTGATAGGAACCTGCCTCTGAGTCTCATTGTCTGTGCCCTCTGCCTGCTCTCAAATCCTACACGTCTTTTCAGGGCTGGGCTGGAAATGTCACCAATCTCCCTGGAGAAGCTTTTCAGAACCTCTTCCTATCCAGCCTGAAAGAATTTTAAAAAATACTTAACAGCACTTAACACGTTCTAAATTCCTCGAGGGCAGGGTTCCGTGCCCTCTTCCCCCAGCACCCAGCGCAGAGCCTGGAATATTCCCTCACAGAAACGCCTTCATTCTGGGTTCTCATACACAGCACTTCATCTCCTTTATTTTTTCACTCCTTATCACTTTCTAACGTACTCGACATATTCACCTTTATCTTGCCTCTTTTCTTGGGTAGGGATTCTTTGTTTTGTTCGCAGCTGTACCCCGTTGCTTAGAACATAGGGCTCAATAGATAACTGCCGAATAAATGAAGTAAATAAAATGTGCATTCAAAACTACAGGGTGAGTGAGCTACATGGAACGTCAAAAAGGGAAGCGTGTGAGCAAGAATTTGTCAGTCTGACCTCAGTGTGTATGTTCTAAGGCAGAGAAGGGTTGGTCAACCTTCAAATACAACCCAGTGTTAGGCATACGGTAGGCTCCTGATAACTGAATTGAACCTTTAACGCTCCACCCTGGAGAGGAAGAAGAGGCTCCCCAGGGGTCAGCCTGCAGGGAGCTACATCCTTTCTGCAAATTAACCAGTACCCCGGTGGAATCTATCCTTCCATGTTTTCACCTCCTCAGGTCCAAGAATCTCAAGCTAGGGATGGGGAGCTGGAAGCTTGTATGGGAGGTGACAGTCCCCCAGGGTTTAGCTCCTTAATTCAACCATCCTGCGGGCGGGCACCACCCTGACAGTTTGGATCTACAGCGGTCGCGCCCCCCTCCCCAATCCCCTCATGGCCTGCTACTATATCTGGGGAAGGGGGTCCAGGGCGGACGCCCAGGCCCCTTCCCCTGGTAATTTCTCAAAGAATATGGGGCGCGGCAGTGAATCAGCACTCGCCCGGACTGACGCAGCCCTGGTCCCCGCCAGGGGTCCCCAGCGGCTGCGAAGTTAGACGCCCCCCCCCATCCTCCTCCGCCTGCGCGCTATGACCACTGGGAGATGTAGTCTTGACCGCCCCTTTGTCCTTGATCTTTTCAACGTATCACCCCCACGCGAGGATGAACTACAACTCCCAAAGGCCCACGCGCCGGGGCCTAGCAGGGTGGGGGTCTGCAGCGGGACAGGTCGGGGGCGCGTCTGGGGAAGCTGGGGCGCAGCCACTGGGATGAAATGAAGAACGAGAAGTGCTGAGGGGCAGCGGCGGAGGAAGGGACGCCCAGAAGGCGGTGGCGAGCTGCGCTGCGGAGGGGAGGCCGGAGAAGCGGAAGGGCCGGGGCGGGGCCTGGGCGGGGTGCGCAGGCGGGGGGCGGGGCCGGCTGCGTCACGCGGCGTGGGCGGGGCCGCAGGGGGTTGTCCGCCCGCGGCACGCACAGCAGCCGCAGCCGCCTCGCGCACGGTCCCGCGGTCGCAGCTCGAGCCGCAGCCTTCGCGTCCCCACCGTCGCCTCAGCCGCTCGCTTCGTGGGTCGGTGTCTCCGGCACACGGGCTCCAGCCGCGCCGCAGCTGCCCTCTAAGCCCTTCAGGCCGCCCAGGTCTCCTCGCCCGGCCCGACCCAGCCCGCGAAGATGGTGGACCGCGAGCAACTGGTGCAGAAAGCCCGGCTGGCCGAGCAGGCGGAGCGCTACGACGACATGGCCGCGGCCATGAAGAACGTGAGTCTCTCTTCCCCTCCCCCCGCCTTGCCCCAGCCCCTTCGCGGACGCGGGCCTTCGCTGGGACGGCCCGGGGACGAGTCGCCCGTCGCGACTGCAGGGTGGGCCGCCCTTGCTCACCCACCGAGGGGGCTGGGGAGGGTCCCGAGAGCGCTAGAGCCTTTCCCCGAGCGTCCCCCGGGGCGGCGCCGCTGCCTCCTCGGCCCTTCCCGGGCTCGGGCTGGGGCGGGGTCTGGCAGGGCTGGGCTGGGCTCGGGAGCCGGGTCTCCGGCCGCCGCGTCTCCGGGCGTGCCGGGGACCTGAGCGGGGGCCGTGCGCATCCTTTGTGCCCCACTTCCCCTCCTCCCAGCCTGGGCGTGGGGGCGGGGGACCGCATGGATGCGGTTCCTCTTTCTCTCCCTGGTGTCTGGGCGGCGCCTTTCCCATTCACTCAGCAGGTCTCCGGTTTTCTAATACTCCCCCCCACCCCCCCATTTTCTTCCCCACTGCCTCTCCTGACAGATCCTTTAGGACCTCCCCGGGAAAAATGTAGGGTCTCCCGAAAACCTGGGCTCAATGGTGCAAAATCGAAACCACCTCGCTCACGTTTTTCTTAACAAAAGGCTTCCCTTTCTCCGTTCTCCAAAAGAAGTTCTCTTGCTTTTGGAAAGGGGGAACGTTCGTCTCGCTAGCGTTTGCATTGATTGTTCTCAACATGTCATCCCTATTTTCCCCCCCGTTTTTGTATTGAAAAGGGTAAGGTATTGTCTTTAAAATAAAGGTGGTGAATTTAGCTGACTGGTTCAATTTGTGACATATGCTGTTTCTTTTTAAAATACAGGCACACATCTGTTGAAATTCCTATAAGTTGAAAAAATATTCTCTCTGTTCTGATATTGCAAACAAAGCGGTGGTGGGAGGCAGTATCAAGTCATTCCAGAAGATTCTGCATTTGTCATATTGCAGAGAGCCTAGACTGGGTGGAGGCTGGGAGGAGTTATTTTAAAGGGGCAAAAGTCTTTTTTTTTTTTTTAATTTGTTTTGTTAGATACATCTGAGGCTTTAAAGAAAAAAAAGCTAACGCATCCTCATTCTGATGAAAAGCGAATACTGATCTCCAGGTGTCGCATTTTGTCCAGGATGCAGATTCCTGCCTGTATTGCACCATTTTGTCAGTAACACTACATTTATCTGATGGGCTGTCAACCAGTTTGATATTCGAGGAGGGGGGACTTTTTGAGCATTATTCAGTTAAACGTGGAAAATTAATTAATGATTTAGGTCTCCCACTATCTTAATATTTAACTTTCTGCCTTATGTAACAAAGGTTTTAAAATGCATCTCCAGTGTGAAGTGGGTGTAGGAGTGTACCTTGCATGTTAAATCTTTTTAACGAAGCAATATAGATGTTTTGTAATTATTAATTATAGAATAACTTTTTACAAAATAACTAATTACAGAATAACTTGAATAACTTTACTGGTTCCCAAAAGATGATGATGCCGATGCCTTTATATTTAAGCCAGCTACATTAACAAAAAAGGTTTTTATCTCATTAAGGAAGAGAATTGGTTCTGAAATTAGGAGTACTGCTGTATTATCATATTGCCACAGTCACTATCTTTAAGGCTCAAATGATGTAAGTTGCACTTTTAATATCAGTATTGAAAATATCTTTGGTTTGTGTTATTTAGACTATTCTAATTTTTCCATATTTCTAGGTTCACAGGAAAGCGAGTGACCTCGCACCTATAACCATAGCAACCCAGTGATGTCACACACAATGACACAGAGGCTGCAATGCACCTAAGGGCTGGTAGGGAGTATGCAAATGGCATTTGTCCAAGGTAATGCAGAAATTAACAGATTAGCTGGGTGGAATTAAGCACTTCATCTTCCACCAGATAAGAATTGGTCCAAAAAATAAGAATTGCATTTAACGTTAGACTTGCAAATCAGTGACCTTTAGATATGTCTATTTGCCTTCTTATTTCTAGTTTTCTCACGAAAGTTTATAAGATACATTCCTATTTTTAAGCATTAATCTCACTATTAAAATTGGGCAATGACGGAATAAAGATAGACGTTTTAAGTAAGAATGTTGTATGATAGTGCAGGGGCGGGCTGTATGCTTAGATTTATTGCAAATTAGTAATTTGGCAAGTTTTAATAAAAACCTGTAAAAATTAGGACTTCCTACTTGGTCGTTTTCAGTAAATGTTAGAGAATGAGAATCTGTTACAGAACACTTTAGGTGGGGATTTGGAAAAGGTCTCTTTTGCTATATTTATGCTTCTGCTCCCTGACAGAGTATAGAGGAAAGAACAGTTTATAAAATAAAGCAGACCTTTTTCAAACCTGTTTTACTGTGACTTTGAGGAGTTAGGCTCCCCTCTGGCCCTCATTATCCTCATCTGTAAAATGGATCAATATCTACTTGAAAAAGTTATGCGGATTAAATAAGAAATGTGTAGGTGCCCCCAAATGGTAACAACTTATAGAACTTTGTTTCTTCCTCTGTTGGAGAATTTCGAAAATACAGGCAGATACAAAGAAAATACTCAGTCCTACCACTCAAGTGAGCTCTTTTCTCAGGCTGAAATCATCCTGATGATAGAGGGATTAAATTTATTTGCATTCAATGAAGTTATCCTAGTAATAACACTGTTGGGACTTGTGCCAAGTGGTAGTTGTATGTGGATGACCAGCATAGAAATAATATGCAGTATTTTGAAAAGGAAGAAAGAGGGAAGTTTAGTCTTTTAAGACAAATATGTCATCTTGCATTTAAGGAGAGAGTGAACACCTAGAGGTCTCCTACTTGTTAATGTTAAGATAGTACTGTCCTGTCCTTTGGATTTTAATAACCTCTTAAGTTACTATTCTAAGTAGGCTACTGGTACTTGCCTTCCGGGGGAAAGGTTCTGGGCTGCTAATTTTGTTGAAGTTACTGGGTTAAGCAATTTAACTGAGGGGTGTATGGGGGGCATTGGTGCCAAAAGGCTATCTTAATTATGTAAAAAAGTCTTTCTAGTGGAATCGATAGACTTTAAAATTCTTGCTATCTTAAATACTCTGTTTTTCCTATTAGCTCTTCCAGGAGGCCAGATCAATAGCCATTATCACTAATGGAGTAATGACACCTCTGTAGACTCTTCAGAGGTGGAGTTCTGCCAGCCATTATTCTGGGTCATGTGGTTTCAATTGTTCTCTTCTCTGGAGTGGAAAGGATACAGATAACAGTTTGCTTTTTGTGTGTTATCTTTTGCAAGAACTGTAGTGACTATTTAAGTGTTTTTTCTAATTATTTAAAAAAAATCTCCTGTGTATCTTTTGAATTACATTGAGATGAAAGATGGTAAATGTGCATCCTCATTACAGTCCTTTGGATTAACTGCAGAGGATTTCATCCCATAGCACTTGGGGGAAGTCTTATTTGTTTATTAAATTAAACTCTAAATTATTGAAGAGTGGAGAAATGATTTTGTTTTTATTTTTTTTTTATTATTTTTTTTTTTTTAAAGATTTTATTTTTTCCTTTTTCTCCCCAAAGCCCCCCAGTACATAGTTGTATATTTCTCGCTGTGGGTTCTTCTAGTTGTGGTATGTGGGACGCTGCCTCAGCGTGGTCTGACGAGCAGTGCCATGTCCGCACCCAGGATTCGAACCAACGAAACACTGGGCCGCCTGCAGCGGAGCGCGCGAACTTAACCACTCGGCCACGGGGCCAGCCCATGATTTTGTTTTTATTGACGTAAAAGTCATATAACGTAAACTAACCATTTTCAAGTGGTGATGGTCTGGCTGCAGCTGGCTAGATTTCAAAACCTGATTACTGATTCAGGAATGTGTCAGTAATGAAGTGCCCTACAGCTCACAGCCAATGGGAATCGCCGTCCCTTTGTCTTTGTTTTCTAACATCTGAACCTTTTCAGCATAGATTTTAAAAAGGGGTTATTTTAGCTAGGTTTATATTTCCGTTTAAAAAGTTATAGAGCTTACAAAACATGATGCTCATCCAAATAAGTAAGAACAATTTACCTGAAACTAGCGGATTATTAACTATTTGGAGATTATGGAAATTTTGCTGGTGTCTGTATTATGACTCGCTTTCCACCCCAAGGCTGACTTTGTTATAAGTGATTTCCCTGCGGTGGCAGCTGTCCCCTGGTGGACACTGCGGCACTGGGTGGTGAGCTATTGAAGCATGACATTCTAAACTGATGGGATTCCCGTAAATAAGATGTGTTAAATACGTTGTTTGGGTTACCAGAGTGCTTCTGAGGCTGCCAGGAGCTGCTGCCCACCTCTGCTGTCACCAACCCTAATCCTTTTATCTGGCAAGACGGCTGTTATTCCTGTGTCCTGCCACAGTCCAGGGGATGTGGAAGAAAAGCAAAGACCACTTTGTATGTTTAATAGTCAAAGGGAAGAAATCACGTATAGACCACTATCTTTTCTTTTGTCTTGTTTTCTAAGTTGTTTCTTAGTGCTTAACCCAATACTTGAAACTATAGCTTTGGGAAGCTATATTTATTGTCTTTTTAGGTGATAAAGGCTACCACTGCCAGCTGCTTTGTGGCCTTTCCTCTCATATTCATTTTCCTGTTGTCTTCACCAAATTCCATTTTAGAGATCAGCTGTCATTTTGGTTCACCACCAAACTGTATTATCGTTAAACTGGCACTTGTAGAGACCCTTGAAATTTTAACTTTACTAATTTATGAATTTGAATAGCAGAAAAATAGTTACATGAAAAGTGATCAATAAAAACTCCCAAAAGAAAGCTTTAATTTTAAGATAAGTGGTTAAATAAGTGGTTTGGTCCCATGATTTTGCAGAAACAATAAAAATTGTAAATCTTAAAGACTTTGCATGAGTCTTTTTTCTTCCTTTTTAAAGAACTGGTGAAGTCTAAGCCAAATTTTCATCAGCATTTCACTTGTAAGGGTGTGTCCCACAGAGGGAGATTTTTCTTTACCTAAGTTGACTGCTGTTACTGTGCCACTTAGCATTAATTG